TATATATTTTGGGGAGATTATGAAAAATATATATATTGTATATTGGCTAATTTTGTTGTCAAAACAAGTCTGATCAAGTTGTAATTTTCTGGTTCAAAATTTCAAGGTTGAAGAACCGATGCGAATTTGAAGAAGTTCAAGTGTTCATGATATATTACACTCCAAGATGATGAGAACAATGCTTTAAGAAGTTTTGAGAGGTAGTGAGAACATTTAGAAAAGGTTTTGAAAGTTTTTAAAGGAGATTTTACATTATATCCATCTTGAACGGATTCAAGAATAATCGAACAGGTTCAACATCAGCAGAATAGCAATCTAGCCATCTTGAACTAGTTCAAGAATAATCGAATATGTTCAAGGCATCCTGATAGTTTTGGTAACTTGCCTTTTTTGCTCTGTTTGATTCTTTTTTGAACTAGACTTCCTTCCAAGTCCTATGCACGAATTTTTTCATATTTTCAGAGGGACTAGGACATTGCAAACTCTATATAAACCTTGTCATACACATAAGTTTATTCGTGACCTTTGCATAAAAAAATTCAGATCTATTAGAGTGCCTTTTGAGAGATATTTTTATTCAGAAAATCAATCTGATTTTTCTGATTTTATTTTTGAGAGCACACACATACACACAAGAGTGATTTAGGAGTGTTATTCTCTATCTCATCGGAATTGAACATTAATTGAAGATTCAAAAATTCTGAAAAAGTAGAATTCATTCGTTCTTCGTCAAATTCAGATCTAAAAGAAAAGGGGTGAAGCGATCACACTTTGAAGGGGTCAGAGCATTCGTGGATTGTTGTTTGATCTACCTGCAACTCTTCTACAGAGATCAAGAATAAGCCTGAGGTCGAGAGCTATCGGAAGGGGGAGTCGCAAAGTCAGGGATTGTCAGCAATTGGTTTTTGGTAAAACGATAGGGTGTGAGTCTAAGTCAAAGTTTGGTATACTTTGCTTCAAACATAGTGAATCGTTTATCTCAGACTGGAGAGTCCAATGAGGTTTTTCCTGTTACAATTGGTCTATTCTACCAATTGGGGTTTCCTCGATAAAATTCTGGTATAATCTCTCAAACTCTATTTACTTTACTTGCACTTTATTTTTGCTTTGTGGTTTAATTTTAGTTTTATTTCGGTAAAAATAAAATAAATAAAAATTGAATAAAAGAGCAAGTTAAATATATTTGCCATCCTCTAGGTTATTATATTCCACTACCATTCTGCTGCGCACATTCAACAATTGAATCCATCTTGGCCTGAGCTTGTCCAACTATTAGGCCTACTCTCGATTACTGTCGCTAACATGTCATTCTTGACCATTGGTTGGTCGAAGGGCTTTTAAGTCATGACTCATATTTGACTAAGACTCCTAGGCCATACAGATCGAGACTCTTAGGCCATGTTGGTCGAGGGACTCTTTGGCTATGGTTGGTCGAGACTCTTGATCATGGTTGATTAGTTTTCTCGGGCCATAATTCCTTAAGTCATGACTTAGTCGAGAGACTCTTAGGCTATAGTTAACTGCGACTCTTCGACCACTGATCGAGAGACTCTTGACCATTGATCGAGAGACTCTTAGGCTATTTAATCGAGACTTCTGACCACTGATTGAATGACTCATGGCCATCGATCGAGAAACTCTTAGGCCATGCTCGATCAGTGGCCAGGAGAATTGGTTTCAACCACCAGGATTAGAAATGAATCTTTCACTTCCATGATCATGGGTTGGTCCAAAGTTTAACTCTCGCGATTTTCGACCACGTGGCATAATGATTTTTTTATCATAATTTAGGTGTTAATGAATATGAAATTGGGGCAAAGACTTATCACTTTCACTTTTTAATTTTAGCTCCTCTAAAAGAATTGAACCCATGGCAAAATGAGATCGTTTGTTCAGATCCTCGAGTAGGGGCATATTCGAAATGACTCAATCAATATATATATTCTATTGCCATTTCCGTCTAAAAAAAAGAAATAGCTCATATATATATATATATATATATATATATATATATATATATATATATATATATATATTATATTGCCATTTCTGTCTAGAAAAACAAAGAGCTCATAAATCTACCCAAAAATATATTAGAATTCATCAAGGGATTTATGGTCTAATGGTATCTCTTCTACCTCCTAAAATAGATGGTGAGGGTTCGAGTCTCCAAGGGAGCAAAATGGGTGTGTTAGGCCCTGTTTGGTGGATGTTCTATTTTGTTCCCAATAGTGATACAGTAACACTATTGAGCACTATTAAGGCCCAAAACATGTTTGGCATAGGCTGTGTTGGTTTAAACAGTGTCAGAACAATTTCAAAATTTGGGCCAAATGTTGGAACAAAAAAAAGGTGTTCTAAAGTGTTCCATAGAATAGCCGGCCCACTTTGCACTGTAACAGGACAAAAACAAATTTGGTTAGGGCAAATCATTTCAACCTCCCAATCGCCTCCATCTCTATTCTCGTTCTCAACTGTGAACTTGCCCTAATTTCTGAAAAAACACTCTGAACTTGCCCTCTCTCTCTCTCTCTACAACTGTAAGCTACAAAATCTACAAGAATCAGAAGTTCGAAACCCACCTCCATCTCTATTCTCATTCTCAATTCTGAAGGTGCCCCCTCTCTCTCTCTCTGCAACTGCAAACTATAAAATCTAGCAAATCTGTGAACTTCCCCCCCCCCCCCCCCAAGAACCCATTGATTCATAGATAAGCTTAGACTTAGCTTTTTACAGCTAATTGAAAAGGACCATTTTGGCTCTCTGATCTTAATTGACTATTTCTATTCCTCCTTCTATATTAGTTCTCTCTAGGTAGACATTTTGCATCTCATCTTTGCCTTCTCAGTTTTGTTTACCTTTGATCCATACAATATGAGGCTTAAAATTGAGCAATTGTCACAACATTTAGTCCCTCAATCTTTTTCGTCTCCAATACCCATATCTCTGGCTACCTCGCCTTCTTTTCTAAGACCAAATACCAAAAGAGATCTAGCCCTGCTATGTAAATTTGTTCTTTCTGGCACTGGCACATCAACATGGCTCTCCACCCTTCCATCTTTTAACAATTTGGTCTCAAGAGGGCAGAGTCTGAAACGAGCTTGCAGTGCAGATTTTGACGAGTTCTGTGACGAAGATTTATTAGAACAAATGTTTGATTTGTTTTTGTTTGTGTTAATATGAATTTTTCAAAATTATTCTTTCTTCAATTGAGCATAAAAAATTCAGCATAAAAAATAAAAAATATGAAAATATCAATCAAAATATGAATTTTTAAGAATATAAGTTCAAAATAAAAATTCAACATAAAAAATAAAAAATATGAAAATATTAATCAAAATATGAATTTTTAAGAATGAAAGTTCAAAATAAAAATTCAGTATAAAAAATACAAAAATATGCATATACTGTATATTTTTTTATGATTCATTATCTTTCAAATTTTATAAATGTAGTAGTAATTTTAAATTTGTTTGGTAACAATTAATCTGTTTAAAGTATTACACAATTGTATACTAAAATTATACAATAATTAATTTATAACTTTATATTTAATAAAGTTGTAAATAAAACATTACAAAACACAAATACTTACAAAACATGTTTTGTTCTCTTATTTCTTGAAACGAAATACATTGCCAAACATGTTCTACCATGTTTCTATTCCAAAATTCTCACCACAAATTTTCATCGCCAAACATGTTTTGTTCTCGTTCAGAACACCACATCACAAAACACTTATTCTATTGTAGACTTGAGCATTACATTACACCACACAACACTTTTCAAACGGGCCCTTAGTGTATGTGAGTTTCTTGTCAATGACAATATATATATATATATATATATATATATATTCTCAAATTCAGCCACCAAAAAAAAAAAAAAATTTGCAAATTAGATAAAATATTAACTGTCAAATTTTGAGCAGTCTCCAAGTATTATAAAATTCAACCATAGAAATTAAATATTGCACCATAAATCCCATATTTTCAATCATTTACTACCTACTCTTTCTTTGAATATTTAATTTAAAGTTGATATTTTCTTATAAATGGGGGTGAAAATCTTTTTTGCTCTCACATTTTATATTAACTGGAGATGATTGGTCATAAATAAGATCGAGGTTTTCAAGCCGCAAGACATTGCAGCATTGTCAATTAAATTGCAAAACAACCGAAATTATTGGAAGGACAACCCTAGTCATAGGCCATCGCTTCTTCTTCTTATCTTCTGTGCCTCTGCCAATGTCACTTCTTCTTGTTCAGAACCAGTTTGGATTTAATTGGGTACATAACTATAACACAGTGAGTAGTTATAACTGATAATGTGTCGTGTGTTAACAACTATTGGATAATGGCTTAAAAACATTTGAAAAGAAAAACTTACAGAGAAAGTCCATTCCCTTATTTTCCCGTGTTTGATCTTCATTAATGGCTTTGATTTGTGAATTCATTCTCTTTGTTTGTTTCAACTTAAGTTCATGTTGCGTTCCTTATGTTGCAACTACTAGCAAAATGAAGGATCAAAGTTTGGATTTCATGTTGACTAAGATATTCATGATTGAAAAGTTTTGTTCAAAGTTTAACCTAATCCTATTTGATTTCAATTAGATAGTTTTGTAGTTTTTGGTGTTTATTTCAAATTGTAAGAGTTTTCTGGGATTTTTACCTGTGAGGGAAAGGGAAAATGGTAATGAAGCTACACTTCGAGCAAAACTCGTGCTATACAAGCCGAATCAATTATTACGACTTCTCATTTCTGAAACAAAATCGATATCTACTTAAATTTTTCATGTTAGCTGCCTAACTAAATCAGCCTTCCGAAGTCAGCTTATAAATTATTTTCCTTCGAGAACTGATATGGTAGAGGTACTAATTATCTAGCTAAAAATGTCTTATATCTTTTCTTCACTTCTGAGCTTTGATATTTTGTAATTCAGAATTAACTATCATTGAATTTGCATGAAAAAAAAAAAAAAAAAAAAAAAAAAGTTCATAGAACCGAAAATCAACTTAGGTGATTATGAAAGAACTAGCTAGTTAGTTGCCTAGCTACTTCCTAGCCCTGCAAAGACGAGAAACAAAGTGATAACTTTTGTCATCATACAAAGACAATATGTACATTTCTCTCTGTGTCTTTCATGTGATCAAAGCTAGCTAGAGCTCGAATACAAAGGCAGCATCGGGCATGAATAATATTCTCAAAGTTGTGCCCCTTTTTCCTTCATGTCTTGTCCCCCATTGCAGCCTTTTGACAAAGAGAAGATAAAGAAGGAACAACATTTTGTCACTGCCCTTCAATCTACAGGAGGACCACTGCAGATTAAAACCCATCCCCATTGTAGGCCCAACCAAGCTACCCATGTATAATTTTAGGGCACTTAATTTAAGTCCACACCCATTCAATCCTCAAAGCAGCCCACTTGGGACCCAAGCTGTGGCATAGACTGAGTTATGGCCTTTCCATGTGAGAACCAGCATATCATCTTCCTTCTTCATCCCCCAACCACTGGCATGTTCATCTAGCAAGAACTTCACTTCACTAACAGTCACCTCACAGAATGGAATGCTAGAAAAGTCGGCATTTCGCATCCGTTGCGACAGCTTAATGCCACACTCCAATCTCTCTATCCTCTGAATCCCTTCAAAGCTGATTATGTTTTCAATTTTGCGGCCAATATCAGCTTCATACTCCATTCTTTGGCAACTATCTTTGGGCAAGAAAGTCTCCAAGGCATCAAATGGTATCCATAGATAATTGAAGCAAGTGGTGATTCTTGATGTGAGACTTGATGCACCCAAATCACAGTCCTCATCAACCACAGTTATAATCTGAGGGTTAAGGCCTTTGATTGTTTCTAGAAAAGAGTCTCTCCAAGAAGCTTCATGAGCACTTTCTTTTCGTTCTTCGGGTAAATACCTTAGCCAATTTTGGCAATTGATGGCCAAAAACTCATCATCCCTAAGTCCTAATGACAAAGGATTGAGTTGATTCAAGAGTGAATCATAGTGATAAGTAGAGGACTCTTCAGATATAATTCCACCCTCTATAGAGGAGGATGAGTCTTCAATCACATTGAATTCGAAAGGAACATCCCTAAACTTGGCGAAATTCGACAAACGCATGCCAACTTCTTCACTTGACACATTAAGCAAGGGAGGGACCGGTGGCCTCCAAGAGGGCACCGAAATTCGAAGTGAAGGAGGCCCTTCAGGCCTCTTAGCCAATGTGTCTATGAGAGTAGGCCATTGCATACAATGAGTGATGCTAAAATCTAATATGTGAACCCTTGAATGGCCTTGAATTGCCATTAAAATGACACTATTTGATGCACAGAAGCCAAACCTATGCCAAGGGATTAGATCAACATACCCGGCCAGCTCAGTCACCGTCATCAACCTCCTCTGAAGGGTACTGCCGCCATTGAAATTCATGGCTGTAGGGCAAACCCTAGAAGCCCGGGAGATGAGCGCCCTTAAAAACCATGAAGTGAGCCTCTGGTTAGGGTCACCTCCAGAAGAAGCCACGTTATTGAGCACCCACATCACCTGTTGAGCTAGAGTCACATCATTGCTCTCTAGAGCACTCGCGCAGTGAAGTAGAAGCTTCTCAATACACGCTCCGTCGAGGCTGCCGAGACATCCCCTGAGTGCACCTGATAGAGAAGTAGTCTGAGGGCTAGTGGTGAAGAGACTAGGGTTTTGTAATGAAATTGGTGGGGCGTTTCCTCTTAGTTCTGCTTTCATTGCTGTGAGATGAGTCAGAATATATATGAGAAAAAGTAGGGCTTTTTTTCACCTGAACATGCATGGAAGGTCTGATACCTTCAGAGAAGAGAGGAAGGAGAAGAGGAGAGTGACACTTGTTTGTGACAATCGTCTGATTGATATTGGTGGATGGAATTTAAGAGCTAGGGTTTTATCTGAAGAGAATTTGCAGGATGAAGAGATATGAGGTCTAGGTTGTTGGAGATTTGTACTTGGTTATGGTGTTTTACATAGATAGATATAGAGAGAGACAGAGAGAGAGAGAGAACAAATTATCTTCTGAAGTTGAGAGCAAGATTATCTTCTGATGGCTATGGCCATATATATACACTAAGAAAAGGTTGTTATTGAATAATTAGGATGAAGATACTATAAATCCAAACTATACATACATACATATATATATATATATATATATATACATATATATATATATATATAATGTTAAATGAACCATGAGTTTTTATGCTAAAATGACAAGAGTACATGGCATGGGTATCCCCTTATCCATGCATCTCCCTTTCCCTTAGTTTTTTTGGTTAGCGGACAAATATGTTTGACATTATAATTTGGGTTCCGTCTCTTTTTTTCTTTTCTCTTTCCGTTTTTTTTTTTTTTTTTTTAGCCCCTTCAAAATTTAACAAAGTTATTTGAACAATCTTCAATGAATTAGCTGGTAAGTCATTGGTCTAGATAATTAGGTTCATTGAGGATAATGATCCAAAGAGGATGATGAGCCTTTAATACTTGCAAACACACACACACATGGTGGTTCATTGATTTCATAGTTGGATTTGATATTAGTCATTATATCATAAAAGCGCTGATGAATGAAAAATTACGAGATCCAAGCTATGACAACCCATATCGTTTTGAAAAAGAAGTTGTTGACACTTAAATAATGATGTCTTCTATATGTATAAACATGTATTAGGATAATATCTACACATTGTGGAGACTCATAAATACTATTTATAGTCATAGTAGGGATTTGATTCCATAGATGCAATTAATTTTGCTTGTGTTATGTACGCTTATTAGGAAACCTCAGTAATTAGCTAGGCAACATTTGAGCTTTACTAAGCTAATTTGTCTGAATTCACTTTATTATCACTCAATCTTGTGTGGTCAACTGATGATTAGTTAACTGAGGGGCAGAGAATAGGTTAAAAAAGCTGCCTTAGCCGGCCACTCTTTTGTCGAATTTGTACTTATGGAATGCCATTTAGGACAAATTAATCCACTTTAATTATTGTAATTATGTAATTTGGTTTCTCTTTGAGCTTAGTGATTGATGGCTACCCTTCATTCCCGTCCTTCCCAAATACAAGATACTTAAGATATCAAGTTGGTCTCTAGTGCCATGTGATGCCACAACAAAAGACAAAATGGACCCTATACATACCAAGGACAAATTGGGTTATTTCACTGAAATGTCACTCCATGTACAGCTTAAAAACCATAGAATATTTCCCTAAACTTCCTAAATTTGTACTGGTTATACTAACCATCGAATATTTCCATAACTTCCATTCTCTCCTTTTCGCTGAATGTCCTCATTTTTCAATTTTGTCATTAATACTTCCCACAGACCACCAATTATTGATTACAAGATGGAGCAAACAAATTCGAGTTTTGTTTTGTCAGTGCAAAAGGAAATCCTAAAGAATAGGATAGGGCTTTATTAACTCATGCAATAGGATTCACCGTGAAAAAAGGGGAAAAGAAAATAGTAAATTGAGTCTGTAATTTGCACATGGGATTCTCACCTGATGCATGCGCTAGAGCTACTCTCTCTCTCTTTCGAAAAGAAAGATTTCAGTTTAAAGTTAGGGCAGGGCAGTGAGGGGGCACGCTACCAAAAAAAAAAAATACGGAATATATATATATATATATATATATATATATATATATATAACAACTATAAAATTCAAAAGATCGACAAAGGAAAAAAAAATTATTAAAATATAAAAGAAAAGAAAAATGAGAGAACTTTAAAAGGAAATAGTTGAAAAGTTTCAATTGAGCAAGAAAAATTTGACTTTTTCTACTAAGGAAATTTAAGAAATGTAAAGAATAAAAGAAAAAATAAAGAAAAAATAAAAATATAATTTTAGGAACTAGAAATTTGAAGGGGGCACTATATAAATTTTTTTATATATATGGAAATTTTTTTAAAAATTACGACATATATTATAGGTTGCTGACCAACTCAGGGGGGCACGTGCTCCCCCTAGGCCTTCATTGGCTCCATCGGGCATTGTTGCATTTGAAACGAGGGTACCTTGAATTCATAAGGAAGAAAAAAGAATTCGCAGAGGAATCTGATAATATATTAATAATTGAATGAATGATCTATTCTGCAATACATGTATTTATAAATTAAAAAAACCCAGTGTTCAAAAACAAATTTGCTCTGAATATTCTGTAAAAATAAAGAAAAAAAACATAATTACTAAAAACTACTAAATACCAAAAAAAAAAAAAAAAAAAAAAAAAAAAGCAAATTGAATCTGTTTAGTCTTTTAACGAAAATCCCTAAATATTCAAAATTGGGAAAATGCCATTCCCAAGCCTTAAACGGTTAAATTTGTCAATATTTGCGAGTTGGGCCGTTTATGATAAAACTAGGCTCTTTCAGGGTTAAAAACGGATTCCTCGAAATCATCAGATAAAAACTGATTAGCCCACCCATTTGACTTTTTGACAGTCCAAACAGGTTTCAAAATCTTCAGTTAACTGTCCTGCATCAATTGAACTTAGAACATCTTATTTACAGTTCTTGACCACTGAGCCACCTGTACGGGTTTAGAAACTTAAAGAAAATAAAACACCTAGAAGCCCTATGAACTCTAATTTGTTTGAAGGGGAACCAGCATATTTTTGTAATATATATCAGCCTCAAAGATGAAACAATTATAAAATGACAGCATCCATGCAACATATATAACATGCTAATAGGTCTGTTATCACTCCATTTTCTATATTTTATAACCTAAGCATAGTAGTTTTCGCCTAAATTTTGGTTCGAAAATTGGGTGAAGCTTTAACTTTTTGCACTAGTTTGAGAAGAAAATAAGCAAAAAAACAAGCACCACTCACATCACGAACACACTATTGCCATTATCTTATGGTTAAATGAAGTTATGTATGCAGCTATAACTTTAAAACAGCTAATCATGCATATACTCTCAACTGTTTATATATATATATATATAGTTTCACGACGCATTTTGTAATGCTTGTGGCTGGAAAATGCTTTACAAATTTCCGTACAGCGATGTATCCTGTAAGTTAAATTCATTTGAAAGAGTCAAATTGTAATTCACAAGAATAGTTTTTTTTTTTTAATTTATTTGTCATACAAACAAAACTCCCAAAGTCAAACTATTACATATTGAAACATGCATGGCTTTTACATGTATAATTAGATCTTTATAATAGGTAGCATTACTCACAGGCTCTCACTCTTCAAATGCCCTAGTTGAAATTCTTTGTTTTTAAGGAAATTATAACTACGAATTGAATCAATTTGATTTACTAAAATGTTGCTGAAATGTTTCTATATATGAAATACTCATTTACTCGTACTTAAGGAAATTATAACTACAATTAAAAATAAAATCAACATTTTTATCAAAGTAATTTTACATTAGAATTATAGGTTTCTATATGATGCATGTATATTTAAGAATTTAGTACAAACAATATGTGTGTGTGTGTATATATATATAAGATTCCCTCATCAAAGATTTGTTTGTTTGATGGTAAATTAACCTCCCATTCACCACCAAACAGAAGAAAAAACATAAATAGAAAATAAATAAGCAGATACAGTGAAATATAAGGCCTGCGATAAATTTCCAGAAGAATTGTAATATCAACTTCAAAAAAGACATGAAATATGCCAACAGAAACCAACCCGGCGGCGAATCCCATCTTCTTTGAAGTCTTGAAATATGCTTCCAGATAAAGCTCCATTATTATGTGATAATATATATAAATGTATATATTATTATAAACACATGTACATGAATTGAAAATTGGGAAATAAGAGAAGGGCATGATCTTATAAACAAAATAATCTGTTACAAACAACCACAACTGTATATAATATATGATGTAGTATTTCAAATTGCAATGTATATGACCAATTTCAGAATTTGATTCTAATGATTTCTCATTTATATGCTACAAAAACAACCTTTCTTTACTTCTTGCTCTGTTTCGAGCCTCTGTTCTTGTTTTGGCAGTGTTTTCCTGTTAGCCTTGTTGGGCTGGGCTGGGATGGGATGGGCTGTTTTCTTTGTTTTGTTGCCTCTTGGGCTCTGGACCTTTTGAGGGCTTGCCAAGTGCCCCACCAATTTTTTTGGGCATCCTTTTTATATTATTCAAAAATAAATAATAATCAGGCAAAAGAAAAAGTTCAAAGCTATCTGAGAAACCAATTATCATGATGATTTCATTAATCTATATTCTACATAAAAAAAATTTGAAGCTTTTAGGCTCAGTTTGTTTGAACATAAAATATTTTTCAAAAAATATTTTTTTATTTTTTGGTGTTTGGTTGTGGTAAAATATTTACAAAGAAAAAAAATATTAAAATTTAACAAAAATAACTTATTCATCAATTTTCGGCAAGTTATTTTACATGTCCGCCCTATAGACTCGACCTCAACCTCAACGTTAACCTTTACCAAACACCGATAAAGTAAAAATAAAAGAACATTTTACCTGAAAAAAAAAATATTTTTTAAAAAGAATATTTTAGGTCGAAACAAACAGAACCTTAATGTAGAATTGTTTTTTTTCTTTATTTATTGATTTATTTATATTATATATGGTATGGACATTCTAGAGAGATTTTTTTTTTTTTGGGGGTAAATAATGTAGAGAGATAATTACATAAGCTTTTTCGAGTGAGTGACTATGACATCTTAATCAAGAATGTAGAGTTAGAATTCAACACATTTAAATCAATGAGAGTCAAAAGATAGTAGCATACGAAATAGTTGATACTCTTTTTTTCTTTTTCCTAAAGATATTGTGTTTCACAATATTGCAAACTTTCTTTCACTTTTTAGACTTGAACCCCACTCTCTTTAGTAATTAAAACTTTATTTTCACGTTGAGATATCAATTTCGTATGCTAACTTTCTGTCTTTCAGTGAAAATTCCAAGTACAAGTGGTGTATAATGGAGTGAAAAAAAAAAAAAAAAAAAAAAAAAAAAAAAAAAAAAAAGTGAAGTGAATTATTAATTCCGGGGTTTTCGGAACTTGATTTGATATCTTATCCCACTTCACTGGAGTCCAAGAAAAAAAAGGTGAATTATTTTGGTAGGGTAAAAA